CGCGGAGGGGCTGGAAGGTGGGCGAGGGCCGTGGGCAGGCGGCTTTGCTGCCTAGGGAGTGGGCAGCTGGGACCCATTCTGAGACGCTGCTCTGGCACTTGGGAGACATGCAGAGCTGTTAGGAGGGTGGCAGCACCTGGAGTTTGGACCTCAGGTCACAGGGGCGGTCCCCCCCCCCCGCCCCCCGCCTGTGAGGCAGGCCGGTGCCATGAACCCACCATGGGGAGCACTCGGTCTAGGTGCTCTGACTTAGGGTGTCAGTCTCCCACTCCAGCCCCCACACCAAGTCCGTGTGGCTGGGCTCCCTCAGGCGACCAGGCTGTGAGACAAGCTGACAGTCATGCTGAGCTGAGACCCAGGAGTCACTAATTTAGTGACACACATAACGGTGCCAGCTACTTAACCCTCATCACAACGCTGTAAGGCACTAACAATCATATTGCCATTCTTAGACAAGGACATTCAGGCCCAGAGATGTTAAGGAATTTGCCCAAGGACACACAGCCTGGACCTAGTAGGGCTGTGCTCCCGAGGCCGAGCTCACTGGGGCTCCTCCCTGTTGACAGTTGCTCCTCAATCACATAGTACACCAAGATTTTATGGAAATTGGACTTGGGTTCTTATTTTTTAAATTTTATCTTTATTGTTGAACTATTACAGATGTTCCTCTTTCCCCCACTCCTCCCTACTCCTACCCCCTACCCAGGCCTTCACCCCACTATTGTCTGTGTCCATGGGTTATGCATATATGCACATAAGTTCTTTGGTTAATCTCTTCCCGCCCCCCCTTCTCTCTGAGAATTCTGTCTGTTGCATGCTTCCATGTCTCTGGATCTATTTCGTTTGTCAGTTTCTTTCTTTTAAAAATATATTTTTTTATTGATTTCAGAGAGGAAGGGAGGGCGATAGAGAGATAGAAACATCAGTGATGAGAGAGAATCATTGATCAGCTGCCTCCTGCACGCCCCACACTGGAGATTGAGCCTGCAACCCAGGCATGTGCCCTCACTGGGAATTGAATCATGACCTCTGGGTTCATAGGTCTACACTGGCCGGGCATACCACAGCTTTTTTATCCACTCATCTACATGGGCACTTGGGCCATTTCCAAATCTTAGCTAGTGTATGGACTTGTGTTCTTTACAGAGGCAGCTTGGGGTGATAGAAAGAGTAGTTTTGGAGACTTGCTTTTCATTTACTGGCTCTGTCTGAGCCTCGGTGACCTCAACTGTAAACAGGACTAACAAGGATGATCTCTTATGTGCCGTCTGCCTCCTCAGTGAGTGGGAAGAAGATTCCTTGTGGATGAAGCCAGCGTAGCTCCCAGGATGGCTCCAGGGCAGGGCTGTGGAGGGTGTACCCCGCAGCTTTCCATAACAGGGCCGGGCCTCCCCATCCCCATGGCAGGGTTTCCATGATGCCCAGCTCCGAGGAGCCAGTCATCTGGGAGTAGAAGGGACAGAGTTGGACAGCAGACCACAGGCCACCCGCGGTGGCCCAGGGCAACCAGGTGGGAGAGTCCGAGGCCAGGTCAGGGCCTTCAGCCTTGAGAAAGGCCTTACTTTCTAGGCTGGACCCTGGTGGAGGGGAGGGAAGGGCGCAGTGCCCCTCAGCACAGTCCACAGGCCAGGCTCAGGAATGGGGAGGAGGCGGCCCTGGCTGGCTTCCCAGGGCAGGAGAAGGAGGCCTCTTTCCATAAGAGCAGACTGAGTTGAGGGAAGGCATCTGGAACCTTCCCCATTGGGAGAAGGTGCTGGCTGCTGGATGGTGCGCAGGTCTGCCCAGCGGTGCACAGTAGAGGCACAGAGCGCTGAGACCTGGGTTTTGAAAGCCCAGGCCTCAGCGAGCTCTGGGCAAGTAACTGCAATGCTCCTTGGTGCTGTCACCCCAAAAAGGTTTTAGCTTTCAGTGGACTGGAGGGGGGTCCCGAGCTGCGGCCGTGCATTCTCACACTGCCTCCCGGGTGACCTCTCCAGTCCCTGGGACCCACTCTTTCTACCAAAGATGGAGAGCACAGGTGCCCAGGCAGCCGGACCTGGGCTGCGGCTCCTCAGCATCTCCACCCCAGGCTCCCTGAGTGACTCCTTCCAGACCCCTACCCCGCACCCTAACCACACCAAGATGGAGGTCCCCCAATACAATTCAAGCCAAGATGCTTTTCAGGAAAACAATTGTAGCTCGTCCTGAACCCGACCTGAAAACCCTACTGCCCTGGCTGCCATCTGCTTTGTCCAAAGCCTGGACTAGGTCCAGATTCCAGGAACGCATGCAGCTAGGCATTTCGGACGTCAAATCACCGGCCAGAGCGCACCGGAAGCACCTTCCAGTCGAGGCCAAGATGACCCCCTGCCCTCTCCCTGGAGAGGGAGAGGAGCCCGGCGCCCACCCTGGCAGCTGCAGATATTTGTAGCGCCTGGGGCCCTGCTCTGAAGGCTCCCCATCTCCCTTAGTTCCCGCTGCAAATTCAAACCTGGGCCCCAAGAAGCCCAGGACTGTGTCTCTGGTAAAAATGGAATTGTCCTGCTCCGATATTAAAGCCCCTTCCCTGGAGGGAGTGGGACAGGAAGTTGGGGGAAATGAATTCCTGACACATTTTCTTTGGATCTTTTTGGCTTGCAGTGCCTGCAAATACCTACAGCCCATCTCCGGGGGCCAATTACAGCCCAACTCCCTACACCCCCTCGCCTGCAAAAAACCCCACCTACTCCCCCTCCCCAGCACCAGCCTACACCCCCTCGCCTGCCCCGAGCTATGAGCCTGCACCCTCAGTGGCCCACAGCAGGGGTCCTGCTGAATCTGCCAGCCGCCCCCCTTGGGCCACAGACGACAGCTTCTCTCAGAAGTTTGCTCCTGGCAAGAGCACCACTTCTATCAGCAAGCAGCCCCTACCTGGAGGGACCTCTGCCTACACCCCAGGTTCCCAGGTGTCCCCCCTCGCCAGGGGCACCTTCCAGAGGGCTGAGCGCTTCCCAGCCAGCAGCCGGACTCCGCTCTGTGGCCACTGCAACAACGTCATCAGGTATGACCGGCTGTGGCCCTGTGCTGGGGTGCTGGGGGTGCG